AAGTATTTTTAGTGACAGCCAAGAAGTAAAAGATTAATACACAAGTAGACTTTTTATATCCTAGATCATTGGCCAATGTATAAACCCAATAATAGACTTGGAAAAAAATAAAATTGTTCTTTGATTTTTGTTTCCTGGGTGTTTTTTCCCCTTGTTTTGTTTTGAACAGGGTCTTGTGTAGCTCAGGCTGCCCCCAAACTCCCTCTGTAGCTGAGCACTGACCTCCCAATCCTCCAGCTCCAAATGATGGGATTGCAGGCATGCACCCACACATTCAGCTCTATTCAAATCCCCCAGGAAAGCTGCTGAACTCTCGGGCTCTGTGCTGTCTTTGGTGCCTGCTGTCTGGTAGGCCAGCTCTTTTTTGTCACGCCTAATCTGCACTAGCTACCTGGTGGCTTTTGAATTCGGCAACATAAATGTATTTCACTGGGCTGGAGAGATGGCTCAGAGGTTAAGAGCACTGGCTGCTCTTTCAGAGGACCTGGGTTCAATTCCTGGCACCCACATGGCAGCTCATAACTGCCTGTAGTTCCAGTTCCAGGGGATCTAACACCTTCACACGGATATACATGCAGGCAAAACACGAATGCACGTGAAATAAAAAAATACATGTATTTCACTGGTAGAAGCAGGTGCATCTCTGTGAGTTCAAGGAGAGCCAGAGCTACATAATCAATCAGAAGACCCTCTCTCAATAAATAAATAAGTAAATGAATGAATAAATAAGAAAATAAAATGTGTTTCACTCAACCTGAGCTCCAGGGGCACCTATGGAAATACTGCCATGGACCCTTAACTGACAGTGTACCTGGTGGGCGGGACTTGAGCAGTGGGGCCGAAAGAGCAGCCCGGGAGTCTGGAGCTTTTTCTCTGGGTAGAAAATATAGACCAGGAGGATAATCTTTGGGGATTTTATGACATATCCAGAGGGTGTCATGAACTGTCCCAGGCACACCTTTTCCCACTCTGTAGTTTTAAGGAATTTCTAGCTGCTATGGACACCACAATATCAGAATAGGAAGGGACTTTGTAAATTATCTAGTCTCTTTTTTTTTTTCCCCAGAGACATGTTTCGATGTCCGTGTTTGTCATTACTGCTGAGATGAATACGATGTGCTACAAGCACAGCACCGAGGCGATGGTTGATGGTGAAATGGAAAATGTTTTCTAAGCTCCTTATTAGTGGCACTTTTTCTTTCTTTCTTTTCTTTTCTTTTTTTTTTTTTGAGACATGCTGACCTGAAATTCATTGTACAGCCCCAGGCTGGCCTCACACTCCTACTTATCCTCCTGATACGTCAGATGTGGCCTCTTAGAAAAACTCAGGGCTAGCAATTTAATGACTTGTCTTGTTTCCTTTGGTTTATCTAGCTGTATATGGACAGAAAGAAAAAAATAATAATAATCATATTTAAGTTTCAAACCCGGGACAAACAGCTGAGGTGCCTATTTATCCTGTCAAGGTGGACCTGGCCTCCAGGTTCTTTCAGCATCCCTCAACCCTCAGTCTCTGGCTGTTACAGAGTATGGCTGGCATACCCCACCCTCTACCCGGAGCTCTCCAGCCCAGGGGCTGGGCTGCCCTCCCCCGAGGCTCTTCCCTCTGTAATCCAGACGTTTTGTTACCCCTTGTGCCTTTTGCCTCCTGGTCATTTGGCCTCACGGCTGCTGCACCTGATTCTCTCTCCCCTCTGCCTTTCCTTCCCCTCTTTCCTCACATGGCTCAGAGTCATGACCACTCTAGACTCTCCCAGACGTCCCTGCCTCTACCTATACTCTCCCACTTATCTATAATACACTTTCTCCTCCACCATACCTAGGAGGAGTCATGTCCTTTCCTTTCCTTTCTATTTCTTTTTTTCATTCAATATTGCATAGACACTTTTTGTTCTCCTTGATATTTTTACTTTCATTTGTAAAAATTAATATTCCTACTCCAACCAATATTGAGTTGGTTTTGTTATCAACTGCAGGCTTTACTTTGATTATTCTATTAGTGTGTATATGGGTGGCTTTGCCTGCATCTGTGTCTCTGTGTGCTGTACCCATGGAAGCCAGAAGAGGGCATTGGATCCCCTGGAATAGGAGTGACAGATGGTTGTGAGTCCTTCTGTGGGTGCTGGGAATTGAATCTGGGTCCTCTGCAAGAGCAGCCACTGCTCTTAACCACTGAGTCATCTCTTCAGCCTTCTGTGATCCATTTTAAAATAATTTTGTATGCAATGTGAAATAGAGAGTAAGGACAATTTGTTTTCCACTTTCTGCCTTACTAAATTTATTTTGAGATGAGAAAGGGATAAAAGAGGATAAGGGAAGAATATGATTAAAGTACATTACAGGTGTGTGTGTGAGAGAGAGAGAGAGAGAGAGAGAAACTATGAAAGAATAATCCCATCTAAAATTATTTGGACTTTTATTCCTTTTTATTTTATTTCCTTCTATATTTAACGTGCTCTTCTATTATTTCTTGGCCTTTTGGCTAATACCAAGTATAAATTGCCTCTACTAACTTAGTTAATTTTTGTTTTATTTTGTTTTTTGTTTTTCTAGACATGGTTTCTCTGTGTAGCCTTGACTGTCTTGGACCTTGCTCTGTAGACCAGGCTGGTCTCTAACTCACAGAAATCTGCCTGCCTCCCCTCCCGAGTGCTGGGATTAGACATGTGTGCCGCCGCCACCAGGTGGTGAAATAGAATTATATCCCTTTCCCCTCCCTTTCCTCTCCCTGGCCTCTCCCAGTTAGCCTTCCTTCAAACCCCTCCCACCTGCCTCCCTACTTTCATGTTGATAACCTTTTCCCTTGGTTATTGCTGTTATGTATTTCTCCATGTAACACATGTATGCTCATATCTATATCTATCTATATCTATCTATCTATCTATCTATCTATCTATCTATCTATCTATATATCTTGCTGAGTTCATTTTTGTTGTTTGTGTGTATATGGTTTCAAGGCTGCACACTCTACTTTGGAAAACCATTAAGGGGGCTTATCTGTGGGAGAGATGATTAATTCTCCTTGTCCCAGTAAACATTAATTGCCTGTAGCCCTTTGTCTAGAAGTGGAACCTGATGAAAGTTCCTCCCCTTCCATGTTAACATGTCCACTGATGTTGCCTTTGTTCAGGTCTTTTATATGCAGCCATTTCTAGAGACTGCTTCTCTGACTTCTTAAAGCAGAAATAAACTAAGTGTGGTAGTACCCACCTTTAAATCCAGGAGACAGAGGCCGAGCTCTGAGAGTCTGAGGCCAGCCTGCAATTCATAGGGAGTTCCAGGCCAGCTGGTACTACATAGTGAGGCCCTGTCTCCAAAAAAAAAAAAGAAAGAAAAAGTAAAGATCAGTGACTGTTGACATTTCTCTCTAATAGGTAAATATTTAAACCTCCCCCTTATACATATTTGGGTTTTGGATTTTTGGTTTTGGTTTTGGTTTTGTGGGGCAGGCTCTCTCTATATTTAGCCCAGGCTATCCTGAAACTTGGTATATACCTAGTCTGGTCCATGGTGATCCTCCAGCCTCCAACTTAGTGCTGGGATTTCAGGCGTGAGCCTCCAACTTTCTGCTGTTTTTATTCCTTATCTCAGAAGTCACAGAGCTCTGGCTGGAGATATAGCTCAGCTTCAGACCAAGCTCTTACCTAGCGTGCAGAAAGCCTTGAGTTCAACCCCAATACAAGAGGTCGGGAAGCCCTGCTCTGTCTCACTGTTTATTCCAGCACTTGCCAAAGAGAGGCCATATTTACATTCAAGTGTTGGCCCGGTTAGACGCCAGCTCGTGAGGTAGGAGCAGTGGCAAATCATTTCTAGACGTGTTTTAAAGTCACCAGGTTTTTCCGGTGTCATATACTGTCCAGTTTCTGTCCGCTTTGAGCCGATGGCTGGCTTTTAACCTGGACTTTGTATTATTATCGAGTACGCTAGTGTAACAGACCAACTCTGTCATTACCAGAAGTGGGATTCCCCTTCCCTTCCCCCATAGCACTCTCCTCGTGTGACGGTTAGCATAGTTTATTTGGTTCGCCCTCACATTAAGCTGGGGGAGTTTGTCTTGTTGATACCGTCGTAAGCATAGAGTAGTGATGGCACATGTTTGTAATTCCAGCACTCAGACACATAGGCAGGAGGTTCCTGCGTTCCGGCCAGCCCAAAGTACATAGTGACTTTGAGACCAGCCTGAGCTATACAGCAGGACCTTGTTTCAGAAAACAAAAATCAAGAAAAAAAAATGGTTTTTGAGACAGTGTCACTGTGTAGCCCTTAGCTGGACTGAAAGTTCCTGAGTAGACCTCAGACTCAGAGATCTAACTGTATCTACCTTCAGGGTGCTAGGGCTAAAGGTGTGTACCACCAAGGAAATAAATAAAAAATGTAAAATGTCGGTCCTTGTTCTCTCGTCACGGTGGCCAGGTAACAGGGTTCTGTGTGTTCACGTCTGCTGAGAACAGGACTTAAAATCTCAGTATCCCGATCTCTTGGTGAGTGTTCTGTGGGTGGGCTGGCAGTCTAGCGGCTGTAGGAAATGAAGCAGGACATGAGAATGTCCTGTGAGGGGAAGCACAAGAGGTTGTAGAGCACTGGGTACCCGTGCAGTTGGCTTCTGAATGCAGCCTGTTTAGATTTCCACCCCGTCCTCTGTGTGTGTGTGGGGGGGGGGGTGGGGGTTAATGGGAGGAATATTTCAATTATCAAAATCATACTAAATCACCTCAGCACGTTTACAGTGAAGTCCTTGTCTAGTTCTCGGGTCTAGCCGGTTTGTTCTGGGGGGGTCGGGGGTCTTCTGTATCTCAGGCTGGCGTGATTCACTGTGTAACTGAGGATGCTCTTGAGCTCTCTGCTCCCGTCTCCACCTCTCTGGGGTGGAATGACAAACCTGGTTTATGCAGTGCTGGGGATCGAACCCGAGGCTTCGGCACAGTAGACAGGCTCTCCACCAGCCGACCCACATCCCCAGCCCCTAAGCTCTTGTTGACGTTCTGACTTTGCCTTTTTAGGAACTGAAGAGATTTGAGAGCTTCGTAAACTCCTGCCCCCCTTTTGATATTGTTATTGATGGCCTCAATGTTGCAAAAATGTTTCCTAAGAGCCGGGAATCTCAAACTGTAAGTATGTTTTATTTTGTCATTCTCTCTCTGTAGAAATAGTTCTGCCCTTTCTGCACAGCCTTCAGCTTGCTTCTCCGGCCTCTGCTCCCTCCCGGCCTCTACTTTCTCCTTGGAGTCACTGTTTTCCGGTAGATCACATCTCTCTAATTTGAAAGTTAATACACCAAGATATAATATTGAGATACTAGGTACTCATTACGTCGGGGGTTTCCATACATGATACGTTGTTCATAAATTAACCTATGTGGTTGTTTTCTCACTGGTGACCATTTGTTTTTATCAATTTGTAAATGTACTAGCAGTTTCAAATAAAACTACCATGATTTTTTAGTCTTTTTCCCCCCTTCTCTTTTTGAGACAGTCTATATAGACCAAAACTGACCTGAACTCACAGAGGCCCCTCTGTTCTGCTTCCCAAGTGTCCCCTCTGTGACCATGATTTTTTATAGCAGCAATGAGATTAGAAAGTTAAAGCTCATTTTGTGCAATCAATCCCTAGAAAACAACCAGGATGTTAAAACTGGGCTGTAGAGAGCACCTGGATTTCAGCTTGTGGCTGTTATCATTGTGATTTGTGCTGTTCTTCTGCAGTTAGAGGTCCTGTTTCTGTTTGTTTGCTTGTTTGTTTTTCTTTTTGAGACAGGGTTTCTCTGGGTAGCCCTGGCTGTCCTGGAACTTGCTCTGTAGATCAGGCTGGCCTCAAACTCACAGAGATCCACCTGCCTCTGCCTCCCAAGTCCTGGGGTTAAAGGCGTGCGACACCACCACCTGGCTAGTCTGAAGAAAGAGAATAGAATGGTCCCTATCTTCTAAAGGTGTTGTGAAGATTTAGTGACTCCGTATATGAAAGCTCTCTAGTGGACATACTTCACAAGTGCAGCTATGATTGCAATTACCATTCAAGTGAACGCCCAACTGGGACAATAATTCTTGTTTGTCTGTAGGCTTTTATCTGATAGGTGATTAAGAATTGAAGTCAGGGCCGGGCGGTGGTGGCGCACGCCTTTAATCCCAGCACTCGGGAGGCAGAGCCAGGCGGATCTCTGTGAGTTCGAGGCCAGCCTGGTCTCCAAAGCGAGTTCCAGGAAAGGCGCAAAGCTACACAGAGAAACCCTGTCTCGAAAAACCAAAAAAAAAAAAAAAAAAAAAAAGAATTGAAGTCAGGGGACTGCAGAGATAGCTCAATGGTTAAGAGCACTGACTGCTCTTCCAGAGGACCTGAGTTCAATTCCCAGCACCCACATGGCAGCTCACAACCGTCTGTAACTCCAGTTCCAGGGGATCCAACATCCTCACACAGACATGCATACAGGCCAAACACCAATGCACATAAAATTGAAAAATTGAAGTCAGCACTGTTAAAAACACAAGACAAAATAAAATGGTGTTAAGAAACGTATGTTTTAGGGGTGGGGTATAGCTCAGGGGAGAGGACTTGCTAGCATGCATGAGGCCCCGATTTCTATCTCTGCTGCACAAAAGAAAACTCAAGCAGACATAAGTTGGTATGATGGTGTGTGCCAATAATCCCAGACTTCAGGAGGCAGAGGCAGGATGATCTCAAGTTGGAGGCCAGCCTGGGTTACATAGTTAGTTCTAGGCCACCCTGAATTACCAAATGATACCCTATTATTAAGCATATTAGGATTTTTTCCTTTTTGATAATATTTTTGTTTTGTTTTGTTTTACAGACAAGAGTCCTAAGTAGCCTGGACTGGCCTTGAACTTACTAGGTAGCCAGTGGTGACCTTGAACTTCTGACTATCCTGCCTCTACCTCCATACTTTTCCATCACTGGTTAATTATGTGTCTGATTGCTTGGTAAACTCGCTATTGAGGAAAGAATCTTGCATCTTTTTGTTTTTTTTTTTTTTTTTTGTTTTTTTTTTGGTTTTTCGAGACAGGGTTTCTCTGTGTAGCTTTGCGCATCTCCTGGAACTCACTTGGTAGCCCAGACTGGCCTCGAACTCACAGAGATCCGCCTGGCTCTGCCTCCCGAGTGCTGGGATTAAAGGCGTGCGCCACCACCGCCCGGCCAGAATCTTGCATTCTTTATTCAGGGAGTTTCACTGTGCCTCAGTGATTAAAAGCATATTCTGCTCTTGCAAGAGACCCAAGTTCCGTTTCCAACACTCATATCAGGTGTCTCTCAACTGCCTGTGACTGCAGCTCCAGGGATCCGACTCCTCTGGCCTCCTCAGACACCTGCACTCAAGTGCATGTACGTGCACACACACATTCACATAATTTAACACAAAATGTCAGGGCGTGGTGGCACTCATCTTGAATCCCAGCGCTGAGGAGGTAGAGGCAGATGGAAATCTGTTAATTTGAGGCCAGCCAGGGCTACATAGTGAGATCCTGTTTCAAAAAGAACAAGTCTAGTTGTGAATTTATTGTCTCAGTTTTCAGATGTATCTTGTATGTGTGTTTTACATTTTGATTTATTTTCCATGTGTGTGCATGTGCATGTCACCGTGCTCAGTGGAGGTCAGAGAACTTGCCAGAATCAGCTTCCTTCTTTCTCCGTGTGGGTCTTGGAGCTGGAGCTCAGATCATCAGGTGTTCTAGCCACGGAGCCACCTCAGCGGCCCTCAGCACTCAGAAGGCTGAGGCAGGAGGATTGTGAGTTGGAGGCCAGGCTGGACTACAGTGAGGTCTGGGTTACATAGTAAGACTCTGTCCAGAAGCGGGGAGGGACGTGGAGTACTTGCTGCTTTTGCAGAGGACCTGGGCTTGGTTCCCACACCCACAGGGCAGCTTACCACTATTTCTAACTCCAGTTCTAGAGCGTCTGATGCCCCTTTCTGGCCCCAGATGCCAACAGGCACCATGTAGTGCACAGACATGCATGCAGGTGGACACTCACACATGTTCTTGAAAGAAAGAGCCATATCATGAATAAAGATAAATAGAAATTGCACTATTTTCATGGTTTTAGACTGAAGAGAGTGTATATTTGGCACCACCATCCACCCAGTTACTCGTTCCCCAAAATCAAATATTCCAGGCTTAATTATTATCTTTCTAGCCAGTGTGGTGTTGGAGCCCACCGAGGTTTCCTAGTGGTTTCACCCAGCAGGACTACGTAAGAGGATGATTGGGCCACACGGGCCTGGGTACCAGGTGTTTGGAAGGGTCTCCACTTGGCTGTATCTAGCAGGGGGAGGTCTTTTTGCCTCGCCCCTTGGCATTGTTATAAAATGCCCTTTTAAATAAAGTTCTGGGCTGGTGGGTTTTGACCCAGGCCCTCCCGAGGCTATCCTGTCTCTATCTTCCCTCTCATCGTCTAGGTATCTCTTTCTGTCTAAATATCTCCCACTTCTCCTGCTCAAGAGTACCCTGGTGGTAAAAGTGGGGGCCAGTCCCCCACGGTGCGGTGGGGCATACTTATAATCTAGGACTCTGCAGGAGGACCTCAAGTTTGCATTTAACCTAGGCTACCTTGTTTCAGAAAATAAAAGAACAAACTAACAAGAGTTAGTTTTCCCTAGCTTCATACCCAGTTGACTGGCAGATTGTATGGATTATCACCCAAAACTTCCCCCACATTCTAATTGCTTCTTCCCATTTCCAGTAACATTGCCTTTCATCAAAACATCTAAGTTGCCTTCTTCCCTCGTCTCCCTCTAATACCTTCCTGCCGTAAGTGAGATGGGATCTAAGTTCTTGTGGACGATGGAGCCTTTCATCTGGGATTTTACCTCCTCTCAGCCGTCGCTCTGTGGCATTCCCCGTTGTCTTTCACTCAGTTATTGCGTCACTGGAACTCTTCTTGTTCCTCAGACATTCTGAACTTCTTCCCGCCTGTTCTTTGCACTTGCTCTTCCGTCAACCTTTAATGCTCTCTCTCGTTCACGTAGCTGGATCAGCACCTCAGGAGCCTCCTGAGTTCTGCACAGGTACTGGCTCTGCTCACCCACTGTACTTTCGGTGACATCAACCCTGGTCACGTTTGGTGAGTTAAAGTGACCACCTAGCTGACTGTGGTGGTGCACACCTGCAGTCCTAGCAGTCTGGGGGTGGATGCAGGAAGGTCACGAGTTTGAGGCTAGTCTAGGGTGGGTGCTCAGGGAGACTGCGTAACCTGCAAACTGATTCTGCACAAAATGAGCTCAGCCAATATACTGTGTGATACCTGAAAACTATGCAGAACCCAGGCCAAAGTGAGAAAATAAGCGATTATTTAACCCTGGTTTTGGGTGGTTAGTTATATAGCAATAGTAACTGGAGTTTGCTTCTCCGTTGCTGTGAAAAAACAGTAACAAAACGCAACTTGGGAGGAGTGGGTGTACTTCACCTCACAGGTGACACTGTGTGATCGAGGCAAGTTAGGAGAGGAGGTGGCGCACCACAGAGGCACACTGCTTACTGGCCTGTGTCCTGTGCCTTGCTGTTATACAGCTCGAGACCACCTGCCCAGGGGTGGCAGGGCCCAAAGTGAGCTGCTCTCTCACATCAGTCACGAATCAAGAGAATTCCCCACAGACATGCCTGCAGGCCAGTCTGATGGAGGCAAGTCCTCAACTGAGCCTCTCCCTTACGTGACCAGTCTGTGTCAAGTTGACAAGCATTAACCAGCACAATAACTAGTTTAGTTAGTGCAATTACTCTGTTTTCTTCTCAGTGCCCTCCATTAAAATGTAACACCCAGAACTAGACGGCTTGCTCGCTGCTCTTCCGCACTGAGAAAAGGGCCTTGTAGATGAGTCTCAGTACATTTCCTGCTTTTTTTTTTTTTTTTTTTTTTTTTGGTTTTTCAAGACAGGGTTTCTCTGTGTAGCTTTGCGCCTTTCCTGGAACTCACTCTGTAGCCCAGGCTGGCTTCGAACTTACAAAGATCCGCCTGCCTCTGCCTCCCAAGTACTGAGATTAAAGGCGTGTGCCACCACTGCCCGGCCATTTCCTGCACTATTGAAAGAACGGACAGTTGACACTACAGGCAATCGTGTAGCCCATCAGCCAGAATGATGAAAGACGTCCAAAGTGTTATTCTT